TCTTTGGAGATAGTGATTTGGTTGATTCTATTTGGCTCATGCCATTCAAGACTGATAGACTTACCATGTATCTGCATACTTGTTTTTGTCTGTTGCCTCAATGCTGCGATATTATTATAACACAACACTGCCGCATCCAGAGCGTTCCTGCCTTCCCATGGTAATGATGCATGCGTTGGTTTGCCGCTATAAGTTACCTTCATCTGCAGCATGTCCAGTAAGACTGCCTTTGCTATGTTATGGTGTTGAGGCTGTGATTTCATCACTACATCAATGTTTTGAAATACACCAGCTGTTAACATATCAACCTTGGCACCACCACTCTCACTGGCTGGGCAACCTAAGACAGTTACCTGAAAAGGACATTACATGGTTACTAGTACATAGATGCGTTTTGATTTCTCTAGTTTAAATCATGCACTTAATAGTGTAAATTTCATCCTGTACAACTTCCAGTCATCATAAATACGTGTTAACAGTGCTTTCTTATTTACTGAAAAACGTTATATTTTCACTACCAGGAATGTCTATGATTGATACATAACTAATCCCTTCCCTGGGTCTCCAGTGTTATTCCCAATTTCAGGACATAATATTAACATGGAGGGGCATATACAATTAGATGGGGGGTGAAATTCACAAAAATGTTACTGTATGTACGACACTAGAATATGTGACAGAACTTACGCAAACTTCAATGATTATTTTTAAACAAACTATTGATTTAACAAAAAAAATACCATAAATATCTAGCTGTTCAGTATAGGCTCGTGTATCCGGTAACCAGGACAATAAATATTCTCATCTTTTGATACCCCTCCCCATGTTTTTTCTCTCCCTCCCTCACTCTGTCAGTCTTTCCAACCGCCGGGCTTCCCCGCTCTCTATAGTAATTCTCACCTTTCCAACCGATTTACGCGCTGCCATTGACGTACGGATCACCTTCTTCAAGCCCAACGCTGACGCTATGGTGCATTCTGTAACTAAGTTCCGACCCGACCCATGACCGATTTCAGGAAGGGCGTCATACTCGCAAATTACACAGATATTTGGACCGACGTCTGTACCAAACACGGCCCTAAATCCCGTAGGAAGTATAAAGTTCTCTTCGACATCGAATCCCTCCTTCTTGAGAAGAGAGGTCAAAACGTCGTGAGCATGTTGCTCTTCTAACTCGAGCTCGGGGTTGTTCCAGATGTCCTGACTGATTTGATATAGTTCTGGTTCTCTCTTGTCGATGGTTTGACAAGCTAACTCTTGTAACACACTAGTCGCCATGTCGTCGTCGATAGCTTTCCACGTTCAAAGTACGGATGGTGACTCGATTGATCACACACGCAGTGCATGCACAAAACAGAAGAATGAAAACGAGGTCCAGGAAATTTCCAATGTCCCGGTATTATAAAGGTCATTCGTTGATGGCGCTATGTATTCCAAACTGAATGGTTCAAACCAGTGCGTCATGGGAAATGTAATTAGCATGGCCCGCCCAGTTATTTACTTGTTACACCGCTACATTGAAAGATCGTGTCTTATCATACAAACTGTAGGGTAGGAGAAAGTACATGTAAAAAGAACATAAAGGTCTCGTAACCTAGATCCCCCAAAAGATGAAAATAACAAAATAAAAGAACACATTAGACGATCAATAAATGAACATTAAACTTGCATTGTAACAAAAAGGCTTTGTAAGCCGGCTTTCATGCATAGGCACTTTCTTATATAGATTTGTTGAGTTTCAGTAGTTTTAAATTATTTTTATTCCTAAATATTGTGTGTGTAACACTAAGAATTTTTTGTAAATATGCCATTGAATACGGTAGAGAGATATTGTTTGCATATTTATACATAAATATACAAAGTCCCAGCTTGTACATATCATATATATATTCAATATTTTTTTATTTTCTTAAGAGTGAGCAAGTACTTGTTCGGTAAGGACTTCTACTAATATTACGCAGATATTTTATTTGAACATGGTATAATTTGTTAAATCTGATTTACAAGTACTGTCATGAATTTGTTTTTGCGTATCTGTTGACCGACTTAATTAGTTGATTATTAGCCGAATTGCTGTGTTATGTCTGTCATCGTTCAGGCCTATTTGAAGTTTTGGACGGAACTTGGCTCAGTGATTTGGAACTAATTACCAGATAACCGCCGCTTTTTAGACTACTCATTCTGACAGTTTACATCCATAGTTATTAATGTAGTGAACGATTAATGAAAAGATATGACGTATTCAGTACTTAGTGTGATTGGC